AGGTGTCACCGTCTCTCAAGGGCTTTCTGGACCGCCTGCTGGTGCGGGATCCCGGCCAGCGGGCCACAGCTGCCGAGCTGCTGAAGCACCCCTTCCTGACCAAGGCCGGGCCACCAGCCAGCATCGTGCCCCTCATGCGCCAGAATCGCACCAGATGAGGCCCAGCCCCGGCCCGGAACCAAAGAGCCCCGAGGGCCAGCCTGCTGTCCTGCAGGAGGCCAGTCAGAGACAGCCCTCGCCCCGGGATGCCCTCCTAGAGCACAGGACCTACTACTGAGCTCCCAGCTGACCTTTCGGGAGAACAGGGAGCAAGTGAGCAAGCGAGCACGTGCCCGGAACATCCCCCTCACCCACACCCCCCACCTCCCAGGAAGGACAGCCGGCCCCCATCACTGGAACCCTGCTGCGGGGGCAGGGAGAGTACTGTGGAAGGGGTGTGTGCGTGTGTGCCGGGATGGCCCAGCGAGTGGGCATCTCCAATGTACACCCCTTAGCTATACGGGGGTCAATCATGAATGTCTGAAGGAGTGGCCTTTTCCCTTTGCCCTGTGTACCCTTGGGATGGGTGGCGGTTGGGGGGCAAGCGCCCCGCCCTCCTCGCTTGCCTCTGCAGAAGATGACTACTGGTCTGGACAGCCACCTCTTTTCTAGAAATCTATTTATATTACCGTTTTGTAACACTCGAGCCAGCCCCCGCCTGGGCATGGGCAGCCCTGCCCTGCAGGGTGGTGCGGTGGGGGGCAGAGCCACTATCTGAAGAATCAGGTTCCTGGCCCCTCGGCACAGCTCCGCCCTCATCCTCCCTCAAGTTAGTTTTACAATTAAAGCATTTTCTTGTTTGGGTGTGTGGGGTGTGTCGGGGTGAGGGGTGGGCAGTCAGGTCCACCGAGAGGCACATCAGAAGACAGGTGGCCCAAGGTCGGCCATCGGAACCCTGGGGCTCAGCCTCCCCCTGCCCCCGCCCCCTGCACACTCAAGTGGGCAGGAGGTGCTAAGGTTGATGAATCTGGACTCCATAGGGAGTGTCAGCTGTGGTTCCACTGAGTCCTGGGCAGTGCAGATGGTCAGTACACTTGATGCTCACCTCCAGGGTGTGGGTTTGAGTGCACCCAGGGGTGTGGCGGCCTAGAAACATCAGCCATTGGAAACCCAGGGGAGCCCTGTCCCCGGTCAAGATCAAGGCCGTGGCAAAGGGCTCGGCAGCATCAGTATTCCCTGGGAACTTAGAAACCCAGGTTCCCAGCTCCCACCCCAGAGTGAGTCGGAAACGTGGGTTTTTACAGCCCTCTTGTTTGAATCTACAATCGCTCTCACGTGATGTCGTTCGGCCTTCCACGTCCCCAGGGCCCAGACTCCATCTTGTTGCTCCGACATCCTCAGAGTATGGCTTCCGCCCTCTTGTGGAGACGACTGCCCTGCCTGCCTCCGGAGCAAGGCCTTTCAAGGATGGCCTGGAGGTCGCGCCTTTGCCTTTGGCCTTACCTTAGCCATGCAGCCATGCCCAGGAGGGAGGGAAGTTGGGAAATGCAGTCTCTATCTGTGGGTGGTGATTCAGCACCAGCTCCTAGCCCATCGGTCTCCAGTTCAAAGCCACAGGCCTCCATGGGAAAGCTGGTCAGTCTCCGTCGCCGTCTGATGAGTACAACCTTGGGAGTCCCTTTGGGGTGGCCTGTAGGATCCCATGAGTCAGAATCGCCTGAATGTGATTAGGTTTCTGAACACTGCGAATGCCTCCGCAGCCTTTCTGACCCCAGCCATCCGGAGCCAGCTCAGACCCCACAAGATGAACAATGAGGCCCTCCGTTAACGGTCAAATCCCACGGGGAGCTTTGCTTTTACCAAAACAAAGTGGTGCCCGCGTTTGCTTGGTGGTGAGCTGCCCCCAGGCAGTGCCCACCTGGACCTGCCTCCGCCACCGGGTGCTAGTGTGGTTTGGGGCTTTGTGTAGGATTTGACCGTGGGAGCTAAAAACATTCTCAGGGTAAACCGTCTGCTTTCGTCACTTCCTTGTGTAAGGTTTCTGAACACTACCTTTGGAGAGCGGGCGTTGGGGGACGTTAGCTGCTGACACGACCGGCTTCCCTATGGCAAAAAGGATGAAGGGGTGGTTTGGACTGGTTCTCCCCGGCTGCCAGGGCCGTGCCCCCATCAGCCTGGTCTCGGCTGCTCTGGAGGCCCCATCAAAGCCGCTGTGATCACCTGGGAAGGTGGCAAGAGACTCTCTGGAACCAAGCGGACCAGAGGCGAGACAAGGAGCGCCGGGCTGCGATCTGCAGAAGACCCCAGCGAGCACACGCCCAGGGCCCGGGAGAGTCTGCGTCCTCCCAGGGGCCGACTCCACCTGGGAGGGAGCGCGGCCCTTCCCGGCAGCGCCAAGCCCGTCACCCTGCCTGGGGGTGCCCGCACAGGAAGCACCGCCGAGACCTGTGACCCCGGAACCAGCGGGGTTCGGAGGAGGGCATCTAAAATGATGACACAAACAGTCAAAGTGAGTAAGATCTAGAAGAGGTGTGGTTCTGTGCGTCCAGCCCATCTTGACCCCGGAGGTGAAGGGAGACCTGCCCGCAGGGTGTCCGGGGCTGCTCAGTCCCCCAGGAGCAGAGCCCCCAGTCAGTTCTTCCCCGAGGCATGGGTCCCGCCCACCTATTCCGTTAGGGGCTGAGTAGCTTACCTGTAGTAGCACCGGAACTCCTGCCAGGTGTGTGGACGCCATCACACGGTATGAGCATCAACAAGAGCCCTCTTTCTGCAAAGACCGTAAAAGAGATCTAAAACGAACAACCCCCCAACAAACACACAAACCCTCCAAATTCACTGTCACCGGGTGATGCCCACTCAGCAATCCTCCGGGACAGGCGGAACAGCCCCGGTGGGTTTCTGAGACGGGCACTTCTGGGAGTAGAAAGCCCGGTTCACCTACAGAGTAGCTGGTAGGTTTAAACTGCTGACCTTGTGGTTAGCAGCTGCAAGAAAACGAAACAAGCGGTCACTGTCATCAAGTGCGTTCCGGCTCACGGGGACCCTGTGGCACAGGGTAGAACTGCCCCCTGTGCGTCCAGAGGCCGTAAGTCTTCATGGGAGTAGAAAGCCCCATCTTTCTCCAAAGCTAAAAGAAAGGAGGGAGATCAAATGAGAAGGATGACCAAACGGGGTGGGGGTGGGGGCGACCATAGGCCCCCCCTGGGTTTTCAGCCATGCTGGGGCTTTGTTCTGTGACCCTGTGGAAGCCCCCTCTGGGGCGGGCCACAACCTCGTCATGGGTGTGTGCAGCACAGATGACCTAGATGAGTCTGGACAGTCAGCACCAGCATCTAGAGACTGCATGTGGGGGCCACCCAGTGGTTTGAATCCCCTGCCTGCTTCCTAGAAACACCCCCACCGGGTCCCCAGATGGACCCAGGGACCCATTTCACAGATGTAAAGACTGAGCTCACAGAGGGAAGAGGGAAGGTACCACCCATGGGATCACCAAGAAAGCTAGGAATAGAAGCCGGAAAGAGGCCCAGTGCAGAGAGCCTTTCCCTAGAGAGGGACCCTAATGTGTACCCTTCACCTCCTAAACTGAAAATAAATGTCTATTCATGAAAGCCACCCACTCTCACAACTTCAACGCAATTCCGATCCAAATTCCTGCACAATTCTTCAAAGAAAGGGAAACAGGTCAACTTTATTTGGAAAGGAAAGAAACCCAGGATAAATAAAATACTATTAAAAAGCGTTTGTTTTAAGTAGGAGGCATTTCACTCCCAGACTTTAAAAGCCATTGTTTCACCATGGTAATCAAAACAGTGTGGTGCTGGTCCAGTGTTAGATTAAAAGACCAATGGGTTAGAATTGAGAACGCAGAAATACAGCCGATTGCCTGTAGACACCTAATTTTAGAGAAAGCACCAAAACATAAGAGGGGAAGAGATTGCCTTTTTAATGGTGCTGGGGAAATGAATCTTCACCTGCAAAAGAATGCAACAAAACCCATCCCTCCCACCAGTTACAGAAACGAACTCAAAATGGATTAAGACCAAAATGTAATCCCTAGAACCATAAATCCCATCAATGAAAAAATAAGAACAAACTTCAGGCCCCATGACAAGGCATAAACACACCACCAAACATAATGAAAAATAACCTACACTCTAGAAGACAAAAGGACTGGGGCCTACTAAAAAGACAGCGTTTATGCACATCAAAAGATTTCATCAAGAGAGTTAAGCTGTGCTTGACACGATGGGTGTATGTGTGGATTGTGATAGGAGTTGTACGAGCCCCCAATAAAATGATTTTTTTAAAAGTTAAACTAGAACCCACAAGGGTGGGGGGATATTCAGTAATGATACATCAAAGAAAGGGCTAATTTCAAAAATGTATAGGAAACAGAGCATCTTAAGAAAAATACAAATAGCCCAATCCAAAAATTGGCACATGAATAGGCAATTTACTAAAGAGGACATCTAGGCAGCCAACACGCCCCTGAAGAAATGGGCACATTCCTCAAGAGTAAGAGAAATACAAACGCAAACAACGAGATATCACTTCACACCGACTCCTAGCAAAATTGAATAATAAATGCTGGAAAGGGTGGAGAGAGACTGGGACACTCCTCCGTTGCTGGTGGGTCTGTGGAATTGTACAACTCCTGTGGAAGTCAGTATGGTGCTTCCTTAAACAAGTGACAATTATCAGCTGATCCTTCAATACGCTCTAAAGAAGACCACAACACGAACAGACCTATGCGCACCTATGTTTATTGCAGCAAGTTCTATAATGGCAAAAAGATGGTCGAGGTACGGGTGAGCACACTGGTTCAGTCGGCCATCCAACGGAGTAGGATGCACGGTGAAAGACAGGTGACTGAGAAACACCGCAAGACGTGGACAAGACCAGAGAATAGTCTGCTTAGCAAACGAAGTCAAAACGCGTAGAGACCAATATTTAATGGCACTGTTATTATAAGGAAAAACAAGGATAAGACTAAAGATTACAAGGGGGCCAGGGCAGGGAGACAGGGGGGTGGGGGTCGTGGAGACAGGAAGTAACAGAGGAAGGATAGGAAGGGCGGAACAGCAAGAGAAACGCATTTATGGGAGTGAGGGTTACCCGGGTCTCATCACGGGGTTGACTGAGTGGGCTGTGCAACTACACGGAATATGGTTTTCTTTAAGAGAAGCAAAATAAAAGAATGAGAGTCAAAGCTCACAGCCTTAAAACCCTCCAGACCCCTTAACCCACCCGCCACCACGCATCTCAACCTTGGGTCTCAGCCTTGGATCTAAGCCTTGGATCTCAACCTTGGATATAACTCTTGGGTCTCAACCTTGGATCTCAGCTGTGGATCTAGACCTAGAATCTAAGCCTTGGGTCTCAGCCGTGGATGTGAACCTTGGATCAAACTCTTGGGTCTGAACCTTGCGTGTAACCTTGGATGGAACCCTTGGGTCTCAGGCTTGGTCCCTGTGGCTTAATGAGCCAGACAAGTAGAGCTGGGGTGGAGTTGGATTCTTGAGTGACATACGAGTTCATTTCAAACCTAAGAAGAAAGAACGAAAGAAAGAAACCACCCACTGGTGGAAGTTCTGTAGGGGGGGTACAAGATACCAAAGACACAAATTGGTAGCAAAGGAGGGGAGTGCTGCTCTAACACATACCTCAAGTGAGGAAGTGGTTCTGGAATGGGGGGATAGGTGGAGGTCGGAAGAGTCTTGGGGTGCCTGCTAGTATAAACCTAGCTTGCCTGGAAGCGACTGTTGGTAGAACTGTGGTCGATAAAGGCCACTGTGGAGGGCTCAGGGAGAAGCGAGAAGAGCCATAACAGAAGTCCCCTTCACCTTAGAGAAGAAGTGGG